TTTACTTCTTATAAAAATAAAGACATAAGTACGATATTTGCAGATCCACCCAAAGGTTAGTCTTTAGTATTATAATAATAATTTATTTTTAAAGGATTTTAATAATAATTTAAATATTACCTTACTAGAATCTTCGTATATAGATAAACATTTACTTTTGTAATGTACAATTTTTTGCTTGTTTTGTGAAATCTAATACACCAATGTAAAAAAATAGAGAGCACAATACAGCAAAATTTTTGATATTTCTATTCTGCTAATCTTTTGACAATACAATGAAATTTTGTTAGATAAAATGCAGATACAAGTCGAATTGGCCCTATTAGTAAACACTGATAAATAACTTCCAAAAATGATGAAAATGGAGCCATCCCTATGCAAAATGTTGCCATTAAAAAGCTTTCAAAACCAAGAAAACTAAAGAAATTTCTTTTTAAGGAGTCATTAAGAATCGCTCTTGCTACGACATCAGGATCATAAAGTCCAGCTGACTCACAAATTAATGCCGTTTCCTTAGGTTTCCCAATATTTTCCTTTTCAAAACCAGGTGTATCAGTATCAGGAGGTAATGCAACAGTCACAGAAATATTGTATGGGCGAACTTCCATGTCTAAAGCTTCTGCAAATCCTCTTAATGCAAACTTTGAACCTGAATAAATTGACATGCCAAATATTCCCAGTAAGGCAGCTTGAGAAGCTGTTAATACTATTATTCCTTCTTTACGTTGCTTCATTTTAGAAATTATTGCTTTTATAGGGTACACAATGCCAAAAAAATTCACAGAAATTTGAGTTTGAATATCTTCAACTGACATATCTTCTAATTTTCCACATATTGCAGTTCCAACACAGTTTATCAACATATAGATAGATCCAACATTTGCTTCAAGTTTTTCCAGTTCACTTTTAATTACAGAATAATTAGAAGTGTCAGCAGACACAGCACTAATTTGTTGAAACTCACTACTTTTATATTGCAACAATTCTTTCCGGACATTTTCTAATTTTTCTGTATTTCTGGCTATTATCGTAACATCGGCACCTAGTTCCACACATAATTTTGCGAGAGATTTACCGATGCCACTAGAACCACCTGTTACAACAACGTGTTTGCTTTTAATTGAATTTACATTATTATTACTATACTTTTTGAATAATAATAAACTTAACAATCCTATTGCTCCAAAAATTAGTACACTCAGAATCATTTTGGCACTTTTAACTATTTTCAGCTATAAACTACAGGCTAGGTTATGTTGAGTTATGATCGAAACCGGGCGTGACCGTCGTTGCCGATAAAATTGGCATCTTCACATGTAGTTACACTCAACATTGAAAGATGGCGCTTAGTTCCCTTTTCAATATTGCTATTATTTCAAATAGACAATTATTATTTACTTAAAAGTTAAAAAAAGTATCGTATTTGCCTCATGTGTACGTTACATACTTTAAATGAAATTACTAGTTTTCTTTATTATTTCATCATTAGATCAAAACCAATTTTATGCAATTGCAAAATATCAAAAATTACACTAAAAATAAAAAAATTGCAATTTTCTGATACTTTTTTTTAACTTTCGTCTATAACTTTCTTTCAGTGAAATATATAGAAAAGGGAAAATAATAAGATAATCAAAAAGACGCACCCTAACAACCACAATTAGGTACTCACTCACATTATAAGCAAGAGCATAAGCTGATAATTTTTTTTGTTAGGGGGCTTATGTATATATACGCATTAGTTCATAAAAAAGAACGCTTATGTAACGTCCGTGAAAATGGGGGCTGGTTAAGCATTTAAGATAAAACTGACTAATTTTGAGATATGGACGCTCAAAGTTACTCACCACTTTTTTTCGATTTTTCAACTTATTACGTATATATGAAATATTATTCTGAAAATTCATTTCTTGAATTCTTTTTTGCCCACTACACACTTCCTCAAATTAATGAGGAAAAATTTGTTGCTGTTGTCACACCCCCGCCGGGAATCGAACCCGGGCTCTTTGTATATATTGTGTTATGCAGTAAAAAACGTTTTTATTTAACAAATAAATCAGCGGCGATACTAGAATTTGTAATGGCTCAAGGGGGAGAGAGTAAAGGTAAAAAAAGTGGTAAAAATTCGCTTTAAATACCTATAAATCTGTAATAAAATGGAAGTGTCTCCGAAATAACTGCCTTTTTTGAGCTCATATTACGAGTATTTGTATTCGTTGCTGAAAAGCTTCCATAATATATTGTACTACTCATTATACAGGTTTTCCCATATTATTTTATATTATTGAAAAAGTTATTCGAATTTATGATTTAGATAGAAATTGAATTTTATACAGAAAACCTCTATTTAAATACACACACCACAGTGTTGAACAGTTTTTGTGATATGTGTTAACGGAAACGTGTGTAATCCGTCATTGTATACAATTCCTAGGAAATGTATATAATTCCTAAAATCGTCTGCAAAAGTGTGAAATAAATTATATTAGACACATTTTCTAACAAAATACATTCCCTAAATAGCAATCGAAAATGTATTACATTCTAGATATCAATGGATACCCGGTGTTAGCGGAGCAAGGGGAGGGTCGACCGATCAAGTGATTTATTGTATCCACAGATAACTCTGATTCTGTTCACTAATGTGTTTTATTGATTTTATTTACAGAAAGCATTGGTTTTATACATTTTCTAGTACAATATCGGAATTTCTCAGGATATGTGTGTATTAAAAAATCATTGAAACAATATGTTATAAATTACTTAAACAGCTTCGGAATTGTATACATTTCCTACAAATTCTATTCATTCCTAGATTTGATACATCTCCGCTAACATAAACATATAAGCAAAAGATGGTAGTAACACCAATAGGACCGATTGATTAACAGAATGCTACTACAATAAACTAAGATGGTCCAGATACCGC